TAAATGGTAACCATTTAAATGGTACCCGCCATATTGTATTACATTAAATGGTAACTGACATAAATTCATTACCTAGTCGATTCACAATTCATTGTACATAGTAATTGAATAATATATTCATTTTTCCAACCTTTAAATGGAAACTGCCACACTGACACCAATTCATTACCCATTATAAGGATAAATAGAATATATGTATTTGAATAAATGGATCTGTTCAAAGTTATACTCGGATTGTCTTACAAATTTATTGCGATGTTTTCTATAAACAAGTAATGATATAAAATATTAAAATATTGGGATAAATTTTACATATGTATTTCCAAGTTGTTGCATTTCCCTAAATAAATTAAATCTCGGAATGCATGATAAAAAACCAGTAATTTAATGATAAAAAACCATTAAATCTTGGCGAACCACGTCATCAATCATATTTTGCAGCTTTATCTCCAAAAGAGTCGTTCAATCTTTAATGTTTTTTTGAGAGGAGTCCGATTTGAATACAAGTTAAATCTAACCGTCTAAATATGTAGCCACACTGACACCAATTCATTACCCATTCTACGTAATTCTCTCTCATAAAAAAAAAAAACAGATTATGATTCACACAATTCAGAAAATAAGAATATTATCGTAAACTGATGTTCTGAAAGTATCACGCATAATGAAATATAAAGTATCACCCATAATGAAAGAGTTACCACTTCATATAATATGTAACTTAACCATTAATGCCGATTTATATTTGTCTTACATATCCAAAGAAGTACAAAACAACCTAAACCAAACCACCTGCATGGCTCAGGGAGCCCAATTGATTGCATAAATTATGTATAAAAATATAACGATAAACTAAACATATGTATTTGCATAAATTGATCTGTTGAGACTTATATTTGGATGATTTTTCGTTTGGGGCTTGAAAATTGTGTTACAAATTAATTGGGATGATTTCTATAAAATTATGTATAAAAATATAACGATAAACTAAACATATGTATTTGCATAAATTGATCTGTTAAGACTTATATTTGGATGATTTTCGTTTGGGGCTTGAAAATTGTGTTACAAATTAATTGGGATGATTTCTATAAAATTATGTATAAAAATATAACGATAAACAAAACATATGTATTTGCATAAATTGATCTGTTTGAGACTTATATTTGGATGATTTTCGTTTGGGGCTTGGAAATTGTGTTACAAATTAATTGGGATGATTTCTATAAAATGATAACGAAATTATGTATAAAAATAAAACGATGAACTAAACATATGTATTTGCATAAATTGATCTATTGAGACTTATTTTTGGATGAATTTCGTTTGGGGCTTGGAAATTGTCTTACAAATTAATTGGGATGATTTCTATAAAATACTAATGAAATTATGTATAAAAATATAACGATAAACAAAACATTTGTATTTGCATAAATTGATCTATTCAAAATTCTATTTGGATGAATTTCGTTTGGGGCTTGGAAATTATCTTACAAATTAATTGGGATGATTTATATAAAATGGTAATGAAATTAGCTATAAAAGTATAACGATAAATAAAACATATGTATTTCCATAAATTGATCTGTTGAGTGTTATATTTGGATGAATTTCGTTTGGGGCTTGGAAATTGTCTTACAAATTAATTGGGATGATTTCTATAAAATGGTAACGAAATTATGTATAAAAATATAACGATAAACAAAACATATGTATTTGCATAAATTGATCTGTTGAGACTTATATTTGGATGGTTTTCGTTTGGGGCTTGGAAATTTTCTTACAAATTAATTGGGATGATTTCTATAAATTGGTAACGAAATTAGCTAAAAAAATATAACCATAAATAAAACATATGTATTTGCATAAATTGATCTGTTCAGACTTATATTAGAAATTTTTTTGGATGTTTGACATATATTATAAGGAATATATGTATATAACTAATAGGATAGATGCTACATATGTATTTGCATAAGTGGATCACAATGTTGTTGCATTTGTATTCTATTAATTTGGCCCTTGCAAATATTTTCAAGGCATTTCCATCAATTCAAATACTTGAGTTAGAATCATAAGTCAAGAGTTAATATTTCATAAGAAATGATGAAAACCACTTATTATGCATTTTCATAATGCAGAAAATTATACAAATTTGCCCAACCCCCCCCCCCCCTCCCCTCCCATATTGTTATAAAACCCAACAACAATTAAGCAGAGTTAAATAAACAAAATAAGTTAAAACAATGTGAAATACAAGCAGAAATGATTGTCAACTATGAAAGAGTCGTTCAATTGGTCGGTCCATCTCCTCAATTGGCATTTGGGACGTTCGCCTCACACTCGATTCGCAATTGTTTAAATCTGCTATCTTTCAAAATGATCATGCCACAAAATGCAATCAAATTAGATACCATGACAACAGAGAATAAAATTTAATAAAAAATTAAACTGGTATGAATTGTGTTGATGAGGACAACTACGTACCTTATTACTTCTGAAACCATCAGTGAAGCAATCATCATGTGAATAATTGGTATTGGAATTGCATGAATCAGCAACAAAGGTCTGCAACATTATATATTTTTCAGGATATATTATAAACAATCAATTAAAGAATTATGCAACTTTGTATATTGCAATTTATATGTTGGTTCCACCTTAACAGTAAACTTGCCTGGTTAGTTAATGGAGTAGTTAGTTCAGCAGGCAGTTGCAAAAACCTTCTGTAATGCATTACACGTTGTGGTGACGTCACATAACTTTCTTCACTGAGAAATTCAACTGGAATTTCACAGCCCTACAAAATAAATGTTGTAAAACATTTGACCACATATTAACTTCTAACCATAATGAACATGTTAAGCAGCATGGGAAGCTGCGACAGAGAAAATTGAAGAGGTGGATTGGGCTGCCATATGTTGGACTGGGGGTAGAGCTACATCGTCTATTCATTCAGTCTTAGTTATGCAAAGACTAGTTATTAGTCAGGAATTCTTCCAACAACAACCCTTTGCATTGGCAGTAAGGTGTTACCTAAGTTATAAACAAGTTCAAACAGATTGCATGATAAGATTGCATGATAAGATTGCAAGAGTAGCTAAGGATCTAGATAAATGTAACTTATGGGACGTTTTAGATGTGATGGGAGTTCATCTCCAAGACATTTTGTAACTTTCCATTGCTTAGTAGTTTAGGTGTTTGAGAGGGAAACATTTCTAGGACTATGTTTTGTTTTTATGAGGGTATGCCATCATTTCTTTCCATGTATTATTTGTTTATATTCAATAAACACCTATCATTTAGGGGGGGGGGGGGAATAACATAAAACAAATGTTAAGCAATGTGCTGAAAATAGTTATGCAACAATACTCACATTCACTAACACGTGGTAGGGGATTGTTCCACTATGACTACTGCCACGTGCCTCTCTTGATTGAAGGGCTTCATTGCAATTCTACAACACAATTATGAGAATTATTACGTATGCATAATTTAATACACAGAACTGGTATTACTTATGAAACTACTTGGACAACAGTAAGGGGATAAAAGTACCTAAAGCTAAACTATTTGTTTCATTGATTTCGTCTTAGTGCGACTCTTTAGCTCCATGGTCAGTTTTCCTCTTAAATTTTTCTTTCCGTGTATCTTTACACTTGAGACCATTGGGGATTTTGTCAGTATTTCTGTTCGTACCGACATATTGGTTTCTGCCTTTACCACCAGTATAAATTCTATTCCTCTCAGCAAACCTACGCCTTCAACTTGATTGGGCAATTTTTTTCCACTCCATGGCTTTCACTAATAAATCATTATATCCGTCCTTATCCTTCGATACAATGGACGAAATTTCAGTCAGAATATGACAAAGTACCCTATGCCGTCTCCTAACCTCAATTTTTGGATCAGCTTCGTGAATCACTTCACCGGAAAGATTTTCCTCCAAGCTGCCATCTCTTACAGTTCTACTCCACCTTCTTAATATATATCGACGAGGCAATGTATTGGCGAACATGGAGTCCTTTAGGATTTTCAAACTATTCCTACACATAATACCCTCCCCTTCAAATTTACAACAAGAACATAACAATTCATCTTCTGCTGTCCTCCTCACGTTGCGTTGCATTCCATCCTCACCAACGACTTTGTAAACACAGCCTCCGTTGCCATCGATGGGACTGTAACCAATGATCCTCTGACTGGTAGCAGCTGCTAAGAACTCCTGGAAAATATTAAATATAACCTTTGTGTACAGGTTTGCCGCCTCTAGTAATATGTTACAGTTTGTTTTCAGTTGAGGTAGATTATGGAGCAACCCATACTTGGCTACATATTCCTTGTAATGCTTGTCGGACAACAACCTTTCAAAGTGTGTGAAGAAATTTGGAAGAATCAGTTGCCTGGATAAGTACGCCTTCAAGCAACCATTGAAGCTTTCACTCAGTTGTGTGCTGTGGATACCCGCGGACTAGGTATGTTTAATAAATGCCATGGCCCATCTATGTTTCAAAGCAAAGAGATTTGTAAGCCATGTGTTACCGACAACACCATTTTTCGTTATCATTAAATTCCATTCCCTGGTAAATTCTTCATCCTCCTCAATTTCAAACATTAATTTTGATAACACCTTCTTAAAGCCTTGCGCATGTCTAAACAACAACCCTAGATGCTTCTATGCATTTTGCATTAGGTGCCAAACACACAGATAATGTTTTGTCCCTGGCATCACCTACAAAAACTATTTTCTGTAATATAACTACGTAAAAACATGTACCACACCCTACACAATTAAAATTTGGAAATGCAAAGAGTGGAGATCTGAATTAAAATCACATGCGCCAATGCCTTTCCCATTGCAGCATCTTGATAAGTGAAGATCGTCTTTGGCGCTTTACCGAACATTGCTTTCAAAAATGTTTCAAACAACCACACAAACGACTCTGCTGTCTCGTCATACATGAACGCTATTCCAAACACAGCAGTCTCCCGGTGATGATTCAACCCCAAGAAACTGGACAGTTGCCATGTACAACTTTGTATGTTGTGTCAAAACTTACAACATCTCCAAAATTGTAATAATCAACTATCATTTTTGAATCATCCCAGAATATGTTAGTGATCATTTGATCACTATCCAATTGGAATGCATAAAAGAAAGATGGATCTTCACAAGACTGAGTCTCAAAATAATTCATTAGCCATGCTGCCTCTCTATATTCGAGCTCAGTTTGTCTTCGGGTCCTTATATGGTTTAGTAAATCCAACTTCATGTACCCGACTGATTGTTTTCCACCAGTTTGCCTTCCCATCAACTCATATGAATTGTAAGGGCTTATTCCTGAATCAGAAGCCAATTCCAAATCAATGGCCTAAACACGGCTAATTCTATGCTGGGATGGCAGCATGTGCATGTATTCATCAATCATCAATGGATGGTTGTGGCTTTCAACAAATTTTGTAACTTCCAACTTATGCGTATACTTGGAAACTTGTATAAGCATTCGAGCAGGGCAACCAGTTCGTGTTTCGGCCCTGGGAGTCTTTGTATTACTGTCCCGAATGTCGTCACCCCTGAAACCCTCCTTGCAGCATGTTAACAATCTCGATGACAGTTTACCAGTCTTCTTGCTCTTATTAAAATACTCTTTGTGGATGCTAAAACCAACTCGACCAGCATATGAATTATAGAAATCATATGCCTCTTCTTCAATTTCAAACTTCATACCTATTCTTGGTTTCCATTCTACGACACCTGCCCCTGCAATAGGAGCGTTTTCTGTATATGTGGTGTCTTCGATGTTATTTAATACCTCTTCCATTCCAATAATTGAAATCAGAAACCTATAATATATAAAAAATACATTTGAACGAAGGGCTGTGTTGCAGGTATGGATTATTAATTGGAAACATTTTCTGACCTACTACCATTATTCAAGATAATATAATGTATCAGGGCAAGGAACCAACTTTCTCAACTGCACATATTTTAATTTTGCTACAAATAACAAAATAAATGACTTATTTATCTTTTTCCCAGTCAAACATGCACTTCCAACCTTTTTGGACCTTCTATTTTCATAAAAATTACAACTTTGTTCAATTATTCATTTAACTTTTTCCAAATCAAATATGAACTTGCAAACTTCTTTGGGCTTATTTTGAGAAACACTACAACCATGTTAAGTTAGGGGTATAAGAAGAAACAACAATACGAATTGGAAAAACATTTCCATGTCATGCAACCAAGAGTAGTAGTGTGATGTAGCTAATTATGCAACCAAACAACATCCTAACTAATTTGAGAAATTCAAACAAAGACAAACCAACAACAAACAAATACTAAAAGAGAGAATAGGAAAAAAATAAAACATTTGTAGAAAGTGCACATGTTATTAGCCAAAGATAACTATACCAACAGCCTAGAACAAAAAAGAGAATAAATTTTAACCCAAAACTCAAAACTAAATACATAAAAAATAATAAGAATAATACTAATAATAAAAATAACCAGAGAACATCATTAAAGCTACCACACAGATAGTAACAGAGTAAATTAAGTAAAATAAGAAAAGGAATCCAAAGATCATGATCAAAGAAAAAACACTCCAAATAGCATTATTATTAATGAATAATCAGAAGAAAAAAAAATAAAAATTTTATTTCTCTTATTTTAAAGAAAGATACATACCCAAAGACATAGACAAATGTATTGGAGTAGCAAGCATAGTGCCCCCATCTCTCACAATGATTAAAACCCATGACAGAAAAGATAGAGCCACATTACCTTCTTTGCAACTTAAAGTCCCAGACAACCCATTCTCTCTGTCTCTCTCTCACACACACACACTATGACACAGTGAGTTTGTAATTCAAAACCCACTAACCACTTCTTCCCAAAGATGAAGAAACAGGGGAAGATAGAAATAAAGGGTCAAAGGACATGAACAAACCAACTATTCAAATCCAATTCACTGTTACAACAACAAGAACAGAACATTGTGGTGAAAAGAATCTGCATTAGTTCTCCTTCACTCTTTTATTGATATATATATATATATCAAACTTTCTAAGATATTGAAATATACTAATTTAGTCAAGAGGTATTTTTTTTTTACTTCATTGTTTATTTGTTTCTTTACTTTTCCCACTTGTCTAACTGACAATGATGAAATGTGGGAGCATTAGTTAGTGGGAAAAGATGGGAAGGTCTTGGGCTTATTTTGAGAAACATTACAACAAAGTTGAGTTATTTAAAATGAACAATCATAACTGTCAATGGGAACTTACATTTCATACAAAGGAAAATTTATTCTAACATATTAAATTGAATGTGTAAAACCTCCATTTCTTATTATACAGAATATCCCAAATATATTGTAGCATTTATCATGAATAAAACACTGCATTACAGGAATACAATGGATATTTTATTCTAACATCTTAAATTGAAGTTTAAAACATAACATAACTTCTAATACAGAATATGACAACTTTTACACAATTTAATCATATAATTTTCACAATTTCTCATTTAATTTTTCACAGTTTAATAACGGTTCAAGAATTACCAAACACACGACACTGAAGGTTCCTCTTCCCCACGTTCAATCAAACCTTTCCAAACAAATTGTAATTTTGGAAAGAACAAAATTAAGGAAAGCTGGGACTTTTTTGGGAAGACGAATTTATTTCATTCTATATTTAGGGAGAGAAGAAGAAAGCAGATTAAGAACATACCTTTGTCACTGTACCTTCCTTTTCTCCGACATTCAATGAAATGTTTGGAAAGAAATTGTAAATTTGGAAAGAAGGAAGAAAAATCGGGAGAGAAGAAGAAGAAACAAGATTAGAAATTTAGAAGGTCCGATTCGCAATTGTGCCTTCCTCTTCTCCACCGATGTTCAATAAAACCTTTGGAAAGAAATTGTAAATTTGGAAAGAAGGAGGAAAAACTGGGAGAGAAGAAGAAGAAAGAAGATTAGAAGAGGCACTAAATCTGTTTTGGATTTTCCAATTTGCCGCTTTAATCTGAGTTTCAATAGGAAAAATTTCGTGTATGTATGTATGTATGTATAATTTTTGGTATGTGTATTGTTCGTATATGTGTCTCTGTGTACCTTTTTTACCCAAAGTACTGTTTAGCCCTTTTTACCACTGTTACAGTGAAAACCGGAGGGAACAAATTCTCCTGTTCCACAGGAGAGGATTCTTGTCCCCGGTTGGCTTCTCCCCTGACGGGACGGGAACAGCTTTCGGGCTAAGAAATGCATGTTTTTATGGTATTTTCACTAACAGGAGGAAAAAGAGAGTTGGAAATATTTTTTAAAGGGGTTTGTTATTAATTGCTTTGTATATTTTTTCTTAAATCAATGAAAATTCACTGGCTCCTACGTTGGGTACAAAATACAAATATGACTATAAAATCAAACAAGTCTTCTTCAGAATTTCCGCACAGACATGATTATCGTTCGGAGAATGTACTATTAGCGATGGTGATGCTACATGTGTGGACTAAGTTACACCACAAGTGAATGGTCCGCACCATTTATAAAATTCTAACCCCTCCATTACTCATCAAAATTAATTTTCCCTGACAACACTTACCTACTCACTCGTGAGTAGGACATTCCTACTAACTGCTAATGTGATACAATCACAAATGCACACATAATTTGCAATTACAAAATCAAGAAAGTGTGATAAGTAAGGAAATCGGAGAAGGTGGATTAAATTTTACTTCAAAAAAAGTTATTGTTTTAATTTATCACTTTCTTGATTTTGTAATTAGGGTCTATTTGTGCACTTGTGATTGAACCACATCAGCTGTTAGTAGGAATGACTTACTTTTTTTTGAAATAAAATTTAATCACCCACTATGATTTCCTTACTTATCATTTTCTTGATTTTGCAATTGCAAAATGTGTACATTTGTGATTAGACCACATCACCGATGAGTAGGCAAATCTTGTCCAATTTTTCCAATGTCCATCAAATCAGAAAAGTTTTCTCTAGAATCTCCACACCAATTAGCACAAGTCTTGTGATAAGTCTTCTCTTTTTATATATCACTTGTAGAATATATGTATTAGTACCACAAGCTGACTGACTTTGAATGATACCCTGTTGAATAAGGTCGACAGGATAGCACAATTTCTAACCCTTCAATTACTCTTTAATTTGTCCTGGGAAAACTATATGGCTCAAAATCTTAGACAACTTTAGGTCTTCGGTCTCATATGGAAATGTATATGACTGATGGGTAAATTTGTACCTGCCCTATTTAATTATCTACATCTCATAATCGCCGTCCCATATTGGTGACAAGTTTAATAATTACAAATTAGAAAATGGACCAAAAACAGCAAAATCAATTTCTCACCTTTGCTTAGTAGGGTTTCAAAAGTCTTTAATTGGTGGGGCCAGTGCTACAAATTTACCAAGGAAAAGTCTTTAATTGCTTTATAATTTGTCCTGCAAAGACTGCCTCAAAATGTTGGACCGACTTTTGGTCTTTGGGGACATATCACATCACCTTGCTAGCTTCCCTGTCTCATATAGAAATATCAATTTAATGGCATATTTTTTTATAAGATTCAAATTTAATTATTATTTAAACTCATAATATAACTGTCATTAATTAACTAAACTTAAACGAATATATATATATATATATATATATCAAATTTTCAATTTATAATTACAAAATTTTACTTCTATTTATCATTTACTACTATACAAATAGAAGATTCAATGATTTAGAACTCAAATGTAATTTTTTTTTAATTTTTTATGATGGATGTGCATGAAGAGAATAAAAGTAAACTAGAAATGAGAACATTCATGACATGGTTGAAGTGGCACCAATTAGAGATTAAATGAGAGAAGATCGGTTAAGATGGTTGGCCACAATGGCGGATCTAAGGGAGGGCTAGGCTGGGCTCTAGCCTATCCTAAAAAAAAAAAAAAAAAAGTTAGTACTATGGGTAAATTTAGCCCAGCCCAAAAAAAAAAAAAAAAAAATTATTATTAGTATTAACCCACCGAAACAAGCCCAAGTCAGTTAAGCAACAATACTAAAATAAAGGCCTAATCCAAACAAGCCCTAATACATGACTTAGATATTTTGACCCACTATCTATTATCGACGAATTCGAGTCTTTAAAGACTCACCGAGCACAACTTAAATAGATATTTTGTAATATTTGAATTCAAATATTTATCTAGATTATGTTATTAAAAAAAATAAAAAATTGCTTAAGAAATTGTGTTATTAAATTTATGTTTAATTTTAGCCCACCCCATTGTCAATTCCTGGATCCACCCTTGGTTGGCCATGTGCACAAAAGATCTTTTAAGTACGTCAGTTAAAAAGAGTGCATGACATGATCCATATTGAGGCTAATGCTAGCAGAATGAGAAGATAAAAGTTAACGTGGTTAAAATTAGGCAAAAAAGATACAATAACATGCGGTTTAGCTGAAGGTAGGGTGATACATATGTGAGATATATATTTTGTAATTGACTAATTTCGTTGTCAAAACATTAAGTGGAAATATTTCGGTTCAGAATTTTGAGATTGAAGATCGGAAGTGGATTTGAAGAAATTTAAGTGTTCATTCTTTAATACACTCCGGGATGATGAGAACAATGCTTTAGAAACGTATGTGAGTGTGTGAGAACTATGAAATTGCAAGAGCAGAGAGAGAGAGAGATGATACAGTGAGAGGGATAGACTAATGGAGGCGCAGTAGTCTCCTTACCCTAAAAAGAGTAAGAAACATATATACAAATACAATAATGACAAATTACAGAATGACTA